CACAAACCCAGCCCCACTGAGCCCACACACAAACAAAGGTTGAAGAATAATCTAATGCCTGTGCCCTGCCACGTGGATTATATATAGTACATGATGTGGAATCTGCCCTACCCACCTGAAAACCACCATGCACACTTGAGAAACCTCTGCATCTCAGAAATTCCTTGTGTACCCTGGAACTGAATTTTCCTAAATCACACCATCCTGGCTGGTGGTAATGGAAAGGTAAAAGGATTTTAATCAAATATTGCTGAAGGATAATCCCCATCACCTCCTCCCTACCAGTTTCTAAACTGTAAACTTTATCACATAAAACTAAATTTGCAATGCAATGTTCAGAACTTCTAGAAACCAGACCCTCAGTTTTGAAATCTGTCTTCCCATTGCACACCAAAAGCAATGCTTGTGTGCACATGCTGGGCATGATATTATAAGTAACACAGCTTCCCATGGACAGAGCTGAATAGCCTCCTCCTACCCAGGAAATCCACACGCAGGGAGGCTCAGAAGTCAAGGCCCTCTTCTCAGGTCACTACATGTACCAACAGAACCATAGTCTGGTTCACAGTTCATCCCAGTCCAATCAGATTGGACTCTTGACAGCTTTACCTAACCTGCTCTTCCCAGTGGCTACCTCAATCACTATGGCATGGCTTGTGGTCTCCCTCATAGCTCTCTGATGTACTGCATCACAGGAGAATATGGAAAGAATCTGCAGGCTGCTTCCCATTGGTGCTCCTCCTGATTGCTAGCCTGCCCAGAGTCCCTCATTAGCTTTGACCACCCAGCTGGGCCTCAGGACACTGCCAGATCCTCTACTGGAGGATTAGAGATTAAATGACTCAGACAACATAGGGCTTCCCAGCTCTGCCCTCCACCCTAGGGACAAACAGAGCCCTAGTCTGGTATATTTATTTTAGTAGAACCTTCTACTCTCTCAGGGAACCTGTTCATCTTCCAAGGTCCTTTGTGTGTGCATTCCATCCCACACTCAAGGTCCAGTGCAGCCATCCCCTTGCTTCAGAGCTGGGAAGTCCTGCAGCCAAACCCCAGTCAAACTCACACAGTAACAACAACTGAAGCAAAACAGGGCTACCAATTTGAAATCAAGGAACAGTGAATGGGGGAGTGAGTGGAAATAGAAATAAAAAAGAAAAGGGTATGGCTGTTCTTAGGTATGGTGGAGTAAAAGTTTTATTCTAGACAAAAGGGAAAGTATAGCTAGGGCAGGGGCATCTAGGTAGTCCAGAGTGGACATGGCTCTAAGCCACGGCAGGAGAGGGTGAAAGAAAAAGGGGAGAGCCAGACTAAGAGGCCAGGAGGGTAAACAATAGATGAAAAGGACCAGGTAACCAAAATGGTTGGATTACAAAAGGAAGGGCGGCTGAGAGAAGGGCACCTAAAACCTTAAGCTAGAAGGTGGCTATGCGCCAGCCTTACCTTGTGACAGGTAGGGACTGAGGGATGCTGGGAGAACTTGACAGCCAGATCCACAGCATCAATAAGATACTGTTTGACCTTGACCACCTTGCTCTGTTACCTGCTGAGACCTGTAACCTGACACAAGACAGCTAGAAAGCCAAATGCCTGTGTCTGACCCCTCTGAGCTGACTTGACTATGTCAATCTGGTCTGTTTTCACTAATATCCATAAATTAATACATGCTGCGAAATTACAAAATCACCACCCTGCCTGAATCAGGTCCTTCTTCATAATGGTGAGCCCAGCAGCTGACTCCCTTAAACTTTAGTCTGTGATCTAGCTATTGTCTACCCTGTTTCACCTGGAAGTGCACACAGTCAACTGTTCCTCCTGTTCTGGTCTGAAGGCAGAAGCCATGCTCCACATGTAAATCTTTTTCCTGTTTCTGCAATCGACAGTTAATTACATGACTCAGATGAGTTATTTTAAAACTCTGTTACGATATATCCTTTTTATTCAAGGACTTATAAAGTTTAATCAAGAGGAAAGCAAGGCAATTGCCTTGGGGAACAAGAGTCTGAGAAGAAGCTGACCTGAGTCAACATAGCTTGTCTCAGAAACCCTTTTTTTTTTTTTCTGAAAGGCTGAAGATGTAGCTGTTCTAGAATTAATATGCCTTCCCAGGAAGAAACCACTCCACACACTATTAAAATATTAATTTTAAAAACATCTCTTTAATAGTATCTCGTATTCAGTTCTGGGTTGCAGTGACATTTTTGGCAATTCTGGAATTTTTGTTTCTTTAAAAAAAAAAAAGCAGAGAAACAGTATGAGAATGTGCTCTTATTTTACTCCCAGGTATAGGAATATGAGACTGCTTCTGACTGTCTGCAGCCGCCTCATGCTCTAGCAGAAGCATGGTTTTGCCAGCTACAGTGTTGGTGTGACATCTGGAATTCTGAGAACTTTTTGGAGGACCCAGAGAGGGAAGGGTTGTTGGTCTTTTAGGAAGGTTAGTTATGGTTTGTTAGTGGCTGTGGTCAAAGAAGAAACAAAAGGAAATGTCAGGAACCATTTCCCTGTTTCTAAAAGAAGAGTAAACGTTCGCCCCTGCTTCTATAAAGGAGGGGGGGGGAAGAGGGGGCAGAAGAGGGACAGGGGGAGGGGAAGGGGGAGGCGGAGGAAGAGGGAGAGGGGAAGGGAGAGGAAGAGGGAGGAATAAGAGAGGGGGAGGGGGAGTAACCAAGAACGGATTATCCCACCCATCTCTCCATTCCACCCATCTCTCCGATGAAACTAGGAAGGGTTCGGGCGGGGTCTTTCCCTTTAAATTGAAAATCCCAACATTGCAGGGTGGTGGTGGAACACGCCTTTAATCCCAGCTCTTGGGAGGCAGTGGCAGGCGGATTTATGAGTTCTAGGCCAGCCTGGTCTACAGAGTAAGTTCCAGGACAGCCAGGGTTATACAGAGAAGCCCTGTCTCGAAAAAAAACAAAAAAACAAAAAAACAAAAAAAAAAAGAAAGAAAGAAAGGAAGAAAGAAAGAAAGAAAGAAAGAAAGAAAGAGAAAAGAAAAGCCGAACATTAAAGCAAGCCCTCCCTAAGGCCCTGGCCCCTGACCATGAACAGCTCTCCCAAGCATATTCCAGGTTTTAGAGGAGTTCTGTTTTATCTCTATACCTCAGTGCCTTAAGGAAACCTCCCAAGGCCTAGGCCTTAGACTGTTATTGGCTCTGCCAAATACGTTCCTGGGTTTCAGAAGGAATTATGTCATTCTCTGTACATGTGGACCTCAGGGAAAGAAATCCTTGCTTAATCAGGCCAGCACTCAATGCAACAGTGGTTTTTTAACTTTTCAAATCGCTGTCACCAGGTGTCATCTTGTCCTTGTGGCAAAACTATCCTTTTCTCAAGAAGAAAAAACCTGAACCTTTATGGCACACTGGACCCTAATTAATGTTGATCATGATCCTGTAAAGCCCCAGAGAGCAACTAGTTAGAAGCCTGCTCTTTGCTATGGGGATGAGCCTAGTGGCTGGTTGTGTATCAGGGTTGTTTGCTTTCTTATGATTTGGAGCCGCATTTCTGGACAATCTTGGTGAACAAACATGGGTATCCTAGCATTCTAATCTCTAACAGGCCTACTTAGCATACTACTTTTATGCAGTAAAAAGTGAGGTGTTTTACATGCAGTCCTCCCTCAGCTAAATTCTACTTGGTGTGACTTACTATCTCCTAATCATTAGTAAGTTCATTACATCCTTGTTGGGAGCAACTTTGCTTATACACTGAAGGCCTAAGTCAGCCATACATGCCTACTAACACAAAGTTTTGGTTTCTGTGGGAAAACACTAACGCTAGAACAGATAGCCACAGACCTTGTAGACAAGTAGCCTTGATGGAAAACTACAAAGAACATGTAGTCATAAATCTTGTAAATAGGTGGTGTCAGTATTCTGTCTAAACTCCACCCCCACAGTTATGTGGCAACAGCCAGGTATGCTCCTCCACCCCCCACAGTTACCTGGCAACAGCCAGGTAGGCCTGGCCCACTATAAAAGAGGCTGTTTGCCCCTCCTCTCTCTCTTGATCTCTTGCCTCTAGCTCCTCTCTGTCCCCTCAACCCTCCCCCTTTGCTTTTCCCTTCCTCTCCATGTGGTCAGGGCCTCCCTCTCCAAGGCCTCTACTCCTCTACTTCTCTACTTACTTCTCTCCCTCTCCCTCTCCCTCTCCCTCTCCCTCTCCCTCTACTACCTTCCTGGCTCCCCTCCCCATGCCCTGAATAAACTCTATTCTATGCTATACCAGTGTGTGACTGGTCCCACAGGGGAAGAGATGCCTTGGCATGGGCCTGCTGAGACATCCCCTTCCCCCTTACCTCTCCACACACCCACAGATCATACTCTTTTATCTTTTTTATAAACACATCAATCCCCCTCCCTACATCCTGTCTCTATGTGTATATAACCCCTGTGTGAAGAAATTAAAATTACAGTCTGATCAGACTTCCAGACAGACTGTCCTTCATTGTGTTCCCTGTCCTCCAGTTCTCTCTTCCAGGTCCCCTGGAACCGCAGGACGGGGCACATCCTCAATTCTACTCTTTTACATCATAGCTTGATATTGGATTGCTACCCAACACATGAGATGCCTTTTACAACCTCCACAAAATTAACTCCAAATGGATCGTACACCTTAAGGGTTAAATGTTAAGAACAGAACTTGGAGAAACTGGGGCTGAGTTTGGCATCATGCCAAAGACGTTTCTACAAGCCACTTTTCAAATGTTCTGTGCAGATGCAGCACCCACAGTGAAGTTATTCAGAGGCTGTTCCAGCGAGTGACTAGGACCACAAGGCACCTCATAGGTGGCCACATCTGGCTTCCGGTTCTCACCCTGCCCCGGGAAAAAAAATACCACATCGGCTCCCACTGCCCAGCCCCCTGCTTCTCACGATCCTTGGCAGTAACCCTGAGCTCACCATGCCGCAACTTCCGAGTTTGCCTGAGCACGCTTCTCAGCAGCCAGTGGCAGGACAGAAGACAAACCTTCCGGAAGGCACACGCGGAAGAACCTGCCTCCTCTTCTGACGGGCACGCCTGCAGGCTTTGATTGGCCAGTGAGTCTTGAGTGACGTGAGCACCTCCCTTAGGTTAGAGTGTGCTGAAGAGACACCGGATCGAGGGTCTCAACCTAGGTTTCCAGTTCAGGACCAGAACTTTTCGAGATCTGCAGGGATTTCAGCAGCACGTATGCCTATCCTCCAATAGCCTACCCATCTGTCTCCCCACCCAGCCCCAAGGAAGACCTATCACTCCACCTCCCACTGCTCAGCCCCCTGCTCCCCTTTGTGGGCAGTGACCCTGTGCTCACCAGGTCTTGACTTCAGCCTAAGTTCCCCCCTCACAGCACTCAGTAGGCTCTTTCCCTCCTTTTCCCTCCCGGAATCAAGGTAGATAGCTTGCATAGCCCATTACTCAATACTTGCAGTGGAGTTATCAATCTGTCCCACAAGTGGAAGGGTGCCCAGAATATAAACATTTAAAGAGAGATTTTCGGAAACAAGATTTTTGTTTTGTGGCTGTTGGGATTCAGACCTGGCACAAGCGGCTGAAGTGCACATTGAACACACCAAAGCTCTGCACCAAAGCTTCTCCCAGAACTCTTCAGTCCCCACCGGTTACAGGGCATGGCTGGCATATCCTGCCTTGTACTCTGAACTTTCCAGCCCAGGGGCTGGGCTTTTCCCTTCCACGGAAGCTTCCTAGATAATCTGGACACTTTGTGCTCTTTGTCTCTCTGTTTCTGTCTCTGTGTCTCTCTCCCTCATCTCCCTCCCTCCCCTTCCCTTTTTCCTCCCTCCACTTTTCCTCTTCCTCCATTTTCCCCCTCCCCTGCATTTTTCTCCCCCCTGCTTGCCTTGCTCACTTTTTCGATCTTTCTCCCCACCCCCTCATTCTTTCTCCCCATAGAGACTTCTCTGACCTCCTTGGAACTAGTGAACCCTCTGGTTCCTTGAGATCAGTGAACCCACTAGAGAGCTGCCCCCAATAAATCTGCAAATACTCTAAATTGGCTTGGGTTCAGTCCTTCATATTGGGTAAACTGGAGCTAGTTTTTCACCTGGTAAGTATGAGAACCATGGGAGAAAAACAGGAAACAGATGACAAACCCTATGGAGCACTATTGTTAGCCGGCACTATGGCACTATTGTTGTCCACACAGTGGGAATGTGTCAACATTCACACACAGAGCTGTATTTTTAAAGATTCTCAGATGAACAAATCTGATAGGACGAATCTATGTATGCAGCAAGTGGATTTATTAGACTATTTCACAGGCTGTGGTCCAGCTAGTCCAGCAATGGCTAATAGTGGTTTAGTCCGTGTTGTTGTGTCTCAGCTGGTCTAATTCTGAAGTAGATGCCTGTTATTAATATGCTTTTCCTGTTATTATTACATTCATAATCACTTGGTATAAGTCCACCCTTTTAAGCAGATCTCTGCAGATCTGTCAAGATGCACTGTCTTGTACTAATGCTATATAGACAAATAGATGACTCCTTCTTTTTTTTTTGTTTTTGTTTTTTTTTTTGTTTGTTTGTTTGTTTTTTGAGACAGAGTTTCTCTGTATATAGCCCTGGCTGTCCTGGAACTCACTCTATAGACCAGGCTGGCCTCGAACTCAGAAATCCACCTGCCTCTGCCTCCCAAGTGCTGGGATTAAAGGCCTGCCCGGATGATTTCTTAATTCTTAATGATGCTCCTGTAACAATTCCTAAAACTATATCAGTAATTATTAAGCTATTTTATATTGGGACTGCTATTAGGTCCTTTCTGATAGTCAAAACTGCAGTGAGATCTTTGCCAGTCTCTGTTACCAGTTAATTGCTTCTCCTTCTCAGAGCGTATTCCAAGAGGTTGTAAAACCAAAGGTCATAAAAAGGGAACTCACGATTTATTATAGGTGCAAGGACAGGTGATAAAATGCTGACTGTGTTTATCTATATAAAACTTCACTAATAACTTGGTTATGGTTTTTAATTCTCCACAAACCTGTGGAGCTGTGACAGGTGGTGAATGTTTAGCCAGATAATTGCTCCTAATGGATAGGCATGTAAACATTCTCTGTTGTAAACTTTTATTTCAATTTATGATTTGAATTATGCATAAACTTGTGATGAACTTTTTACCATGTGATCATGCGTTCTGAAAGATGTATAAGTGCTGAGGTCAAAGAGAGGAAACATAACTGAGCTGAGGAGAACCTTTTAGACAGAACACTGTTTAGTCAGGTCTCAACAGAACTTTTTAGAACAGAACTGAGTATAATTTTTTTAGTCAGGACACAAGAGAACTTTTTGACTGAACTGTACTCAAGAAGAACCTAAAAGGAAAGGCGTAGCATTGGGAGAAAAGACATTGAGAGTAAGAGCATTATTGTGACATCAGAGCAGGAGGAGAGAGCAAGAGTAAAAGGAGAATGCAGAGTGGAGTAACTTAGAAACTATAAGGTAACATAAAAAACTAAGAGAGCAATGTGCAGAATGCAGAGGGAAAGAGGAAAAAAGAAGCTACAGAGAGAGCAGGAGCAGGGAGGCTTCTCCTTACCATGGGATAGAACAGGTCTTTTCTTAATAATAAGGCAGGCTTAGTGTTATTAAAAGAAACAAAGCTTTCTTCTTACAAACTTGGGTTTAATTCATTTAGCAATAAAAAGGTAGAAGCTCCTCCTCTTTCAGGAATAGCAGCTCCTTAAAGCCTCCTATGCTACCAACTGAGACAACTTCTCTGTCCAAGGGGCTTCAGCCCTAGTCCTCGCTCAAGATAGAAGGACCCACTTCTACATTCTGGACCATATGTTTGTACTTAATGCAAGGCACAGTACAGTTTTTTGCTTCACTGAGAGCTGGTCATGGAGGCCCAAAACAATATATCTCATTAATGGCTTGGTTTTGTCTAGCCTTCATTGCTGTTATTCAGGCTCCATGCTGTGAGACCAGGAAGGCTTTACAGTGGACCACTTCCAGTCCATGGCATTCCATAGGTGGGCAGCACCTGAAGTTCCCCAGCAAGGTAGGGGCACGGCTAGAGGTGGTTATCTCCATTGACCGGAGTCCTTCTTGGGGACCTTCATTCCCAACTGTGGAAATGGTCTGGGAGATGCTCCTGGAAAATATGGAAGTCTTCAAGTGGCTGCTTGGTATCAGGCTTCAAAGGACCTTTCCCAGGCTGGACATGGAATACGTGGCTAACCCAAACCCTAACTTTCTTGAAAGCACAGGAGGATAGCTGAGAGCACAGGACACCTGCCCAGGGCACAATAGACATGCTGAGGGTCCTGGACATGTATTGAAGTCACAGAACACTTGCAAAGGGTTTAGGACATGGTGAAGGTACAGGACACATGCTGCTGGTGTCACATGATACCTGCTGAGAACAAAGGACACCTACACAGTGAACCAGATACCTGATGAGGGCACAGGACACCCTCAGAGGGCACAGAACATCTACTGAGGGCACAGGCCACCTACTGAGGCACAGGATACCTACATTGGACTCAGGGACAACCGCTGAGGGCATAGGACACCTTCTGGGGCAAAGGAGACCTGTTGAGTCCACAGAACACCTACTGACTACACAGGACATCTACTGAGGGCACAGGACACTTGCAGGGTGCACAAGAGACCTGCACCAGTCCTGCTGAGGTCAGAGGACACCTACTGAGGGAACTAGATACCTACTAAGGCCCAGGGGACCTGCACTGGGTTCAGGGACAGGTGCTGAGGGCACAGAACACATGGGTCTCAGGCAGCACTCAGGGGTCACATGCTGCCCTTGCTGATCTTGCCAGGCAACTCCTGGGTTACCATCAGCAGAGCTCACAAGTCCCAGAGGCCTTGGCAGGACAAGAAGGAGGGGCTGAGGGAGGGAGCAAGGGAGGGAGGGAGGGCTGATGGCGGCAGTGACAAGCACCCAATGTAGCCTTGGGCCTCTTGGGGGTGGATCCTGTGGAGACCAGGAGCTTCAAGCCCTTGGGGAAAGGGAAGGAGGGAGGGAGGGAGGGGTGATGTGATGGTCGAAGTGACAACCACCCAGAGCCCGGGGCCTCTGGGGCGGGGAGGGGTGGGGGAATCCCGTGGAGCCTAGTGGCTGGAAGACGGTCTGGGGCTAAAGAGAAAAGGCTGTGAACCTTTGGGGCACGCGGGGAGGTCCTAGGCCTGTAACCCCCCCGGCTCGGGTCTCCCTTTCTGTTCTTCGCAGGGCTCGGATCTCCCACCCACCTCGTGCCCCACGTCCACAGCAGCCTTGGGGGCCCATCCTTCCCCAGCCCCTGTCCGTCCCCAGGCTCGGATTCCTGAAAGAGGAGGAGAAGGAAGAGGAGCAGGAAGAGGAGCAGGAAGAGGAGCCCTGTTGGGCAACGGAAACAAAGTTTACATTCTCCTGTAGCTTTAAAACCACAGCTGGTTAGGATGAAAGAGTAGATGCCCTGCAGTTTGGCCCCGGAGCCAGGACAGAGGAATGCAGGGCCTGTAAGGACCTGACCCCAGAAGGGAAGACTCATCACAGAGCCTTTGGGAAGGCTAGAAGAGAGGTTGAACTCTTATTAAAAGTAGGTTTCAAAAAAGTTATGCCTACACGCCCATGATTCTAGGAATTTACTGTGCTGGCAGTGGGTGCCTGGGAAGGGAGGGAAAGGGACGAGGGAGGGAGGGAGTCCTCGGGACACAGTATGGATGCCTCACTTTCCCCTCCTCCCAGCTACCTCGGTGCCCCCTCCCTTCCAGCTGCCTCAGTTTCCCCCTCTGTATCTCAGATGCTGGCCTGGCCCGCCTGCTAGGGTTATGACTGAAGAATGAGCCGCTCAGAATTGGTCCCCACCTGACCCCTGATCCAGAGACTAGAGCCAAGCAGGGCAGGAGGGTTGGGTGAAGTCTGTCGCTCAGTGCATAAGAACGTGTTGACAGTCCAAGCGCACACAGTAGGCACCGAAGGTATGCATGCATGTGTCTTGACTATGCGTGACATGACGGCGGCCACGCCCCCACGGAGGACAGAGTCTTTTGGGAGAGGGAGCTCAGGCCACAGACTCGCTAGCGGGACTGCGTGGACTTCGGTGCTCCCCCTCCGTCTCGCGTGGACACCCGCGGGGGGCGGGACAGCAGGTCAGTGACTGAGCAGGGTCACGGGTTCACACGGGGGGTGTGCGCAAATTTGATGGTCACACATGGGGGGGGAGTATGGATCCTGGGATCACAAGGTGGAGAGTGCGGGTCCGGGGTCAGGTGGGTGGAGCACCGTCCCAGGATCACACAGGGGTTGGAGAGGAAGTCCGGATCCCAGGGTCACAGTAGGGGAGGAGAGTGGGGTTCACAGGGTGGGAACGTGGGTCCCAGAGTCACACGGGGGTTGGGGAGTGTGGGTCCAGGGGCCACCCAGGGGTGGGAATGCAGATCCAGGGGACACACGGGATGAGGAGTGTGGGTCACGAGGGGTGAGAGCGTGAGTCCCGGAGTCACACAAGGGGAATGTGGGTCACGAGGGGTGAGAGCGAGGGTCCTGGGGTCACACAGGTGGGGGCACGGAGAGTGGGTCCAGGGGTCACTCAGGTGTGGGAATGCGGGTTCTCTGGGCACAAGGGGTGGGGAGCGCGGGTCCCCAGCACAGCTCAACAAGCCTAGAGTCACAAGTCTCTTGCCTCAGTTTCCCCTCTAGCTCCATCTTGTACAGTCCTCCCACGCCCACCCGTGGCCCCGGCTTGCCCCTTCACTGTGCCTTGCCTCCCACTCACTGCGCCCTGTGCTCTGACCCTTGCGGCAGCTGCAACCCCCATGGGAGACCAGGCAGACTGGATGTCGCAGCTGTGCCCGCGGCTGTGGGATGTCCCGCTGCACCAGCTGTCCATCCCAGGTGAGTGCGAGGCTCACCTCACAACAAGGCTGACTTGTCGCGAGGGTCTCAGGGATGCTGGGCCAGGCTGGAATGGGGTTTCCGTGAGGAAGCTGTCAATCATAGTGGATAAGTCAGGCTGACAGGCTGGAGGAATATGCCACTGGCTGGGGGGGCTGGGCTGGGGTGACAGGAGCTGAACACGGGGGCCTTAAGCCCCACCCATTCCAACCTGTCAGTCACAGGGGACCCTGAACCGCTTGGGGCTCTGCGGGGAGTCAGGAGCGGGGCATGGCCGGTGACTTGCGTGTCCCCAGGGAGCCACGACACGATGACATACTGCCTGACCCTTAAGTCTCCGATCTCCCGTGCATGCTCTCGGCTACTGCACCTGCTGGGCCGGGTCGTGCCTTTCATCACCCGGCCCGTGGTGATGAAATGGTCGGTTACGCAGGTGAGGGTGTGGGAGCGAGTCTGTGGGGGGCGGGGCGAGCCTGGGGGCGGGTTTGGGGGGGTCTTGTTGACGTAGTCCTGGGAGCCAGGTGAGACCGCGGACAGGGGGGTCAGGGACTAGGTGGGTGGGATTAGGGATCCTGGTGACATAATGGGGGCAGGGTTAGGGCCCTGGTGATGTAACTCCGGGCCCGCCTCACCCCGCAGACTCTGGACGTGACACAACAGCTGGATGCAGGAGTGCGGTACCTGGACCTGAGGATCGCACATGCGCCCGAGAGCTCTGCACAAAACCTGTGCTTTGTGCACATGATGTACACGAAGACGCTGGTAGAGGTGTGGGCATGGGGAAGGGAAAGGGGACAGGAAGAAAAAGGAAAAAGGAGGATGAGAGGGGGGTAGGGGAATGAGAGCAGGGAGGGAGGGTTGGAGGGGAATGCAAAGGGGCAGGATCGAGGGTCTGAGTGGATGCAGGTCCCATTAGGCTCACCTAGTGGTCACGTTACCCGTGACCCGGCCCGTGACCAGGCCTGTGATGTGACCCACGACGTGTGTGGTGGGGCAAGCTGTGACATAACCCGTGATGCGGTCCGCCCCGCCCCCAGGATACCCTCACTGAGATAGCTGAGTGGCTGCAATCCCACCCCCGCGAGGTGGTCATCTTAGCCTGCAGGAACTTTGAGGGGATGACGCGCGAGCTGCACGACTATCTAGTGGGCTGCATGGTGAACATTTTCGGAGACATGCTGTGTCCAAGCGGGGTGAGGAAGCATGGTCTGTCACATGGGGAAGGGAGGGTCAGGGATGAGCGTGTACTTGTGTGGCAGATGAGTGACTCTCACTTTCATGCTCCTCCCCATCCAGGAAGTCCCTACACTGGGGCAGCTGTGGGCACGTGGGCAACAGGTCATCGTGTCCTATGAGGACGAGGCCACAGTCAACCGCTATGATCAGCTGTGGCCTGCGATCCCATACTGGTGGGGGAATGCAGTAAAGCCCGAGGTGCTGCTGCGGTTCCTGGAGACCATGAAGGACCACGGCCGCCCAGGTGACAGCACTGGGGGGGGGGATAATGGTGGTGTCTGGGGGATGGGGTAACCTCACTCAGAAACGGGCACTTTAGTGGTGACATCATCGGGGTCAGGGACAACAGTGATGTCATAGGGGATGGCAATGGTAATAGCATTACAGGCATAGTGGTGATGTCATGGGAACCAGTGACACATGGGAAGCGGGTCAGTGTGATATCATGTAGGGCAGTAGTAATGGCATGGGGGATACAGGGCAGGGCTATGACAACACAGGGCAGTGCAGTGATGACGTATCATAGGATGAGGCGGGCATCTGTCAGGGGGAATGAGGGCAGACATCTGTGTGACATCATCCTGTCAATCACCTCGGATTGGGCAGGAGGATGTCAGCATGGATGTAGATGGTACCTCTGAGGATTGGGAGGCCACCCTGTCTGTCCTACTAGCTGTGGCATCATTCTAACACCAAAACTACCTTCTCTGGTGATATCATCAGTTACATGGGGAGGGGGATGAGGGTGTCTCTGCTATTACGGTGATTATGTGGCTATGTGGTATGGGATTCCCTGTGACATCGCTCCATCAGTCATGTAATATGATGTCACCCCTCAGGTGGTCTGTTCGTTGCTGGCATCAACATCACTGAGAACCTGTGCTACATCCTCCTGCACCCAGTGGGCTCCCTGGAAGAGATGACTCGTCGCAGCCTCCCACTCATGACCAAGTGGGTACGTGAGCAGCAGCCGGGGCAGAGCCCTCACTGCACCAACATCATCGCGGGCGACTTCGTGGGTGCAGATGGCTTTGTGAGTGAGGTCATTAGCCTGAACCGGAAACTGCTATCTCCATAACTGCCACGCCCCCAAGATGGAGTCACCACTTGAGTACTTTGCGCAGCCCAGAGAGTCACAGACTCAGAATGTTTTGCTGTGACGCTGCTGTGTTGCAGAACACACGGCAGCCCTCCATTGATTAAGGGATTTTGAAGTAACGCACATGTGTGGATGTTTTAGTGGTCTCTGGTAGCCCAGGCTAGACCCAGGCCTTGGAAACAGTCTGGGAGGCCCCCAATCACCATGTCTCAGCTTCCACAGGAAACTCTGCCCCCAGCCACTGAGCACAAGCACCTTTTCCCATGTGACAGGGACTCCTCGAAGTCACCTACACAAAGCCAGGTTGGTGAGGGGTACAAAGTGCACATCTTGCTTTAATCAGTTAGTCAGTGTGGGAGGGCAGGAGGGGCGTCAAGGGAGAATAGCTTCCTGAACCGGCCATAGGCAGCCTGGGTGATGACAACAGTCACGTGGGCCGCACCACCCTCCGGCAGCTCCTGCACCTTCTGCACCACCGCCTCCTTATAGAGCCAGCTGCAGGGACACACAAATCAGCACCAAGCATGTTGAGAGGCCTCAGGGCATGCTGGGAAGTGGTGCAGGCACGGGTGGGCACTCCCACAGGACTCACCCAAGCTGGGGTCCCCCAAGACGCACACACAGCGTGAGCACCTGCCTGCCCGTGGCACGCAGCACTGACGCCTCCAGTGCTGCCTTCAGCTCCTCTAGCCCACGGCCTGAGACTGCAGACACGGCCAGGACCCCAGAGCATGGTGGAGTGTACCTGCGGGGGTGAGGGGTTAGTGGGTCACGTGTGGGATTGGCCAGGAGGGCAGTGTGGGCCACCGCCGTACCCACCGCACCACGCTCACCCTGGCACCAAGTCCACCTTGCTGTGAACCTCCAATACTGACTCCAGCAGTGCAGGGGGCAGATGCAGGCCCCGCAGTGTGGACAGCACCGTGGCCTTCTGCAGCTCTGCATCAGGGTGGCTCACATCAGTCACATGCACCAGGACGTCCTGGAGGGAATGTGACGGGGAAGGGGCATGGTCAGGAGTAGGAGTGTGATCAGGGGTCGTGAAGGGGTGTGGCCAGGAGGCGTGGCCAGAGGACAGAAGTGGTCAGCGGACAGAAACTCCCCGAATACCAGGTCACACCCAGAGGACCGGCTCCAACCACTGGGTCCCTGACACCCACCGAGTAAGCCACGTCCTCCAGCGTAGCAGAGAACGCATGGATCAGGCTGTGTGGCAGCTGGGACAGGAAGCCAATGGTGTCCACGTACAAGATTCGCAGGCGCGAGGGCAGCAGCCCCTCGTGTACCGTGACATCAAGAGTCGCGAACGGCTGATCCCGTGGCTGCAATGCAGCCTCACCCGTCAGAGCCTGGATGAGTGAGGTCTTCCCTGGGGGGAAGCGGGTGAAACTGGCACTGTCAGCAGCCCAAGCATGCGCCACACCCACCCTTGTACACCCTGGCCTCCCACATGCGCCCCTCCCTCCTCACCACAGTTGGTGTATCCCACCACTGACACCACAGGGAACTCGCGCCGCACTCGCTCCCTCCGCATCAACCTCCGCTTGTCCCGCAGCCTCTCGAGGACACGCCTGAGACGCAGCTCCCGGTCCCTGAGTGCACGGGCCCGCAGCTCCCTGGGTGACTCCCCTGGGAGGAAAAGTGACATGGGGGGGGGAATGTGGGGAAAAGCCCGGAGCAGTAACTTCGGAGTCTTTTGTGGGGCAATAAGTATCACATTCTTGGGGGATCCTGCCTGACCTCGCCCCAGAGGCCATGAAACAGCGAATCCTCTCATGGGGATCACACTAGTCGTTCACAGAAAGACACACACAGAGTGGCCAGTCAGCCTGTCTGTCACTCATCCGTGAAACAGTCAGCTCAGAGCAGATTCTCATGTACATCAATGGACTCAGGGACCAGGAGGGGTCATGAAGCGAGCACAAGGAGGTCATGGAAGAGTCAGGGGTCCCGAGAACTCTCCATTCCTTGCAGTCTCTCCTGCTGTGATCTTAGGGCTCAGTCACCACATCATACCCCAGTCACAGCCCAGTGTGACTCTGGCCCGTGTTCCCCTCCATGCCCCCCTTCTCCCCAATAACTGCGCTACGCACCTCTGGCCCTTCCTTACCTGACCCCATGATGTACCTGGAGCCCCAGCCTTGCTGGTCCTGCTGCGCAGAGTCACCGCTCACAGAGGACCTGGAGACAGGCAGGGAAGGCATGAGAGGAGGACACATAGGGAGCATTCTTGCAACAGCAACCAAGGATATGTGCAGAGAACACGCGAGGAGGAAATGTGGAGGGCACCACCTGCTGCAACATCCACAGATACGCAGGAGGATATGCAGGAAGGGCATGTAGGGGGGACATGCAGGGAGTACCCATGACAGCATCCAATGGCATGTGGGAAGCACTATATGCTGCAGCACCCACAGACTCGCTGGGAGGGCAGGAGGTGAAAAGATAAGAGGAGGACATGCGCGGAGCACCACCTGCGAACCTGAGGAGGGGGATCTCTGCAAGCGCCAGCTGCATCCGGGCCTCCCTCGTGCGCGCGTTACAGCGAAAGATGTGCAGGACTAGGGTGAATCTGTCGAAGACGCGCAAGCCCCACGCAGTCTCCAGCTCTTTCTGAGGAGACGGGGGTCACGCGCGGGTATCAGTCAGGGGGTCACATGGTGTCATGAGTCACGTGAAGGTCAGGGGACACACAGAAACCTTGGTCGGTGGTGCCATCCTCTCCATGTTCAGGAACACAGACGTGATGTCCTGGCATCCCTTGATCTTTTCTGGAGCACAGGGAGTGGCCTGTCAGGGGGTTAGGAGGACGGAAGGCGGTCTGTCCTGGGACACAACATCCTATACCCGAGCGGCCAGACACACAGACACACACACACACACACACACACACAGAGGCGCACATGTGTGCGCCTAGCGGCCAAAGAGGCAGTACCCCTCACCTGTCAGGTCCTGAAAGTTGCCCTTGCCGAACACCAGCCTGCTGCCAGGCGCTGCGCTGGGTACCACCAGGGTCCTCGCGACCGACCATCCTGGAAGCGCGCGCACGAGCGCGGCTGCCTCCGCCACCTGCCACTCGGCTGCGGGGACAGAAGGGTCTGTCCATCAAAGGCGGTGCGGGAAGATCCAGGACCACGGCAGGGGACAGGGTTAGCTCTGGAATAGAACCTTGTCTGCGCAGAGCCCACCTCCTCCGCCCATGCCACGCCCCACCCTACAGCTCACACCAGAACCCCAAAAAGCTTGGCGGGCTATGATCCAAAGCTGGACCAGGGCAAGGCACCAAACAACAAGGACAAGACCCCACAGCCCAATGTTTTCCCCAGACTCCGCCTATAAACTTAGGATAGTCCCGCCCCAAACCCGCCCCTAGATCTCACGCTCACATTACATAGACCCCACCCATAGAGCGGCCCCAGGAACCATCACACTCTCAGCCAGATCACGCCCCCAGCACACATGCTCCCCAAACTCAGACTCCATGATGAGAGTAGCCACGATCTCCAGCCCACCCCACGCCGATGCCCATTACAGTTACTTGTCCCCAGTGCTCCTCCCTCGGCTTGTCCGTCTTTTCTCGTGGCTCCGCCCCTTCCAGAACTCGCACAGCCTACGTCAGTCGACCTACGTCAGCACCTCCGTTCCGTCTTCAGTATCCACTTCCGTCCTCTTTACCGGGTCGTCTGGCCGCGGCGCACTGATATCTCCACCATTTCCGGCCCCGCCCTCAGGCGTCACCGCCGCCCCGGTTCCTTCCCATCAGCCCTCAGTCCGGCGGCCTCCCGATAGCACTCGCACACTTCCGCCTTCAGGTCCCCGCCCCTTCCGGCTTCCCTGCTCCGTCCCCACTCTTGCCCAACCACTTACCTGTGCTTCGAGATTTTGTTCCGGCTGGGCGTCTGACGTCAGGATGCAGGACGAGCACGCGCTGTGCATCGAAGGGCAGAAGGGGTGGAGCGCGGAGCAACTCATCCTCATCTTCCCCTTCGTCCTCACGCGTGTCCTCCCCGCCCCCACCACGCACAGGCCCGCCCCCCGCCCTCGCGCTCCCCCAGACCCGACTCCCGGCGTTGACAATGCGGACGGGACTTGTCAGGGCCCCCGCGGAGTTCAGAGTTTGTTGTACGCGCCTCACGCACAGGAGCCAGAACCCCGGGAGCGCGGCGGCGCGCCAGAACAGCATGACGCGCGCGCGCGCAGCGAGGGACGGGGGAGGGGGAAAAGGGATAGACAGGAAGGACGACGAGGCGCATGCGCGTGACGGCAGATCGCGTACGCGCAGCGAAGAACTTGGGTAGGGTCGGGGTCAGAGAACGGAACAGCGCGTGTGAGGGGCGGAGCCGGAAGGACAGTGCCCCTCCCCTCAATGATGGCTTCTGAGGTTGGCTTCTGATTGACAGAGGGCGGAGCCCAATTGTTTCCACTAGCGGGCTAGTCTGGACTCGGAAAGCGAGAAGGTGTAACTTCCCGGAGGGGCGTGGTCTGTGTTGAAAGTCACGCTGCTCCTTTATCGTGGTGTCACCGATGTTATCGCCTGGACACCCCAATCTTGGGGCAAGAGATACTGAGCTAAAACTGACTTTATCCTAACGTTTACTTTTAGGTTTCATGAAACCATTGTCCTCGCTTTGTTCCTTCTTCCGTGTAATCGCAGACGATGGTAAATCGCAGACGGATGAAGCTTCCGAGGAAATGGTTTTCTGTATTCTTGAGCCATCAAAATGGTTCAGTTGGTCAAGGTGCCTCCCGCCAAGACTCAAAATTTGTGTTCAGACCCGGGGACTCACATTTTTGAGGGACAAGGCCAACTCTTGTAGTTTGTTTCTGACCTCTACAGGCGTAGTTTTCCAGGCACACATACCTCCCCTGGTAGAGAAGAAAAGTTCATTGAATAAAATAACACAATTTTGTTTTCTACGCTTTAAACTGAAAAAAGGAACAACGAAGGTTTTTGTGATTTAGCAAATATTGATTTTTGTTGCACGTATTGTTGTAATGCAGCTATTAATAGAACAGGATGGTTCTCGTTCAGTTGTTTTGTATTTCCCAGTAGCTGTGTACAGACAGGGCT